GCAAGTATCGATGCATGTTATATATATGCATGTATATATGTACAAGTATGGGCAAAGCTTATCTCCCGCTGCGCTGAAAACTAAAATAAAACGTATCCTTCAGTAAAGTCCTTCTCCTCGATTCTCATGAATTTAAGTAAGCCTTCAAGTTTTTATGTTTTGACCATCAAGTGTTTAGTGGCAAGTTGTGTTGGCAATCCAAAAAAGCTTGTGAGTGTGTACGTATGCATTAAAGTATGTAAGTACATATGCTGCATGTACATATGTGTGTAAGCATGTACATATGTAATTTTCTTAAAACTATGTTTGTGAGCATATGTGCATTGTTTTGAGTGTATGCATGGATGTATGCGTATGTATGTTTTAAAGTATGTACCTGTTTGCATGTGTATATATGTGTGGATGTATGTACAATCGTATGTATTAATATACATGCTTGTATATGTATGTATGTACATATATGTACACATGTATGTATTAAAGTGTATATGCATGTATATATGTACGTACGTACGTATGCACGCATATATATATATATGTAAGTATGTATACATGCATACTTGTAGGCATAAGTGTGTTGTGTGCATGTATGTAAATATGTAATGTGCATGTGTATATGTTTGTTTGTGTGTATGTGTGTGTACATTTATGCAAATGCATGTATGTTCTCTTATATTTACTTCCCGCTGTTTTGAAATCTTTCCGTCAAACCCTCCTCCTCGATTCTCACGAATTAAATTAAGCCTGGCAATTTTTTTGCATTGATTGTCATGTGTTCAGTGATATCACGCTGTGATGGCAATGAAAAAAAAACGTGAGTACATATAGGTGTGTGAGTGTATGTTTGTATGTATGTATTTGTGCATTTATTCTTATGCCAGACGCAAACCAAATTCGTCTCCCATTGCGCGAAAAAATAAAACGTACTTTTAGACCTTGCCCATGTTTGCTCTTTTTTAAGAAATGTAAACAAATCGTTGCCCCCAATACAGCCCTCCTCATCGATTCTCATGAGTTCAAGTTAGCCTTACAGGCTTCATACCTGCCTATCAAGTGTTTAATGTCAGAAATCAAATTAAATTTTGGTGTGGGTGCATAAAGATATGTATCTATGTATATTTGCATGTACTTATATATGAAAGTATGTACATATTTTAATAAGTAATCGTGCATGTATGTATGTAAATATGTATGTATTTGGGATTGTGTTCACGTGCATAAGTATGTCCCTGTAAATGTATGTGTATGTGTATTCCTATACAGTATGTATGTCGTATGCATGTATGTATGAAAGTATGTATGCGCCTGAATGAAGTATGCATGTACACACACATGTATGTATGTAAGTGTCTATGCGCATATATACAGAATGTATGAATTATGCATGTACACGCAAATGTTTATATGTAAGTATGTATGCGCATATATAATGTATATATGAGGCATGCATGTACACACACATGTCCGTATGTAAGTGTGTAAGCGCATGTATGCAGAATGTATGATGCATATGGATGTATACCCACATGTATGTATGTAAGTTGCCCCACGTTGTTTCGAAAAATATTAAAAAAAATATAATTATTTAAGTTTAGTTCATTATTCGGTCTATATACATTCATATATATTAAAGGAGTGTATATGCAAGTGTATATAAATAGGGAAGCTTTATAGAATAAATGAATTAAATATATGTTTGTATATATAAATAGATAGCGGACATAATTCCAACTAACCGAATCCCCTTTGAGTACAGTCTGTCATGTTGCCCGTCTTCTAAGGGGTTTCTGCACATGCACATGTTCGTCCCCAACTGCAAACATGTGCACATGTGCAGCTGCACACATAAATAAAACGTGCATAATGTGAATATCTGCAGGTAAATTCATATTTGTCTGCAATACGCTAGGGAAATATCTAGCCACGTGATATGACGAGCAAATCGGGTGACACCCGCATGTCTTACATGCGTGTGCGTCGAGAGTTGCGAATCACGCTTTAAAAATCCGTCGCAAGCAAATTACGGATGCCGCCATTTTGTATATATATACTTCGATATTACCCGGCCTTGAGCGGCCCTAGACGTAGTTATCAAACTTTATAAATTGTATGACAACTTATATGAAAACACCTTGGAAAAAACTATGCAAGGAAATTTGAAAACTTGTCCAAATAAAAACAAGTTTTGTTGGGGGTTTTCTTCGTAATGCTGCCGGCAAGTACTAAAATATGCTTCTCTAGCGGATTAGTGATTTCCCAATCCCACCTATTATATTTACCCCTATTTATACCCCTATTTATGCCTGATTAAAAGGATCAATGTTTCAATGTTGCCCCTTCTCTCTCTAATACATTTTTATGCCTTTTATTTATAACAATTGATCTTATCCCCCTTTTAGCTATCCTATTGCTTAGATTTTCTCAATCGTATATCAAAATTATAATTTCCACAAAAAAAAAAGAAAGAAAAGAAAATCCAGTTCCCAGCATTTAAGCTAATAACTGCACAGATTACACATCTATGGGCTAAGGTCAAACGTTTTTCCATGGAAAAACATCACAAAAAACGGTATATATATTTGCCACACCCACCCACGAAATGAGTCCCAGTGAACTACCAGGCGGGATTACGTTAACCTATTTGACGGCTGATTGCATTTCTGGCTGAACCAGCGCAAAGTCTCTGCGGGAGATGGCTCGAGTTAAGTCTTCATCTTTTTATACCTTTTACCCATTGCAATTGAATCGAACTGGGCATATTGATTTTGTGCCAATGTGCGCAACAGGTAGAAGGTCCATCTATGCCTATAAGGTATATATATTCCTGATCAGAACTAGGAGTTGCTCATATTCCAATTTATCGATAACTCTGCACATTTGCAAAGTATCGATAAGAATCGATTTTGAGATTTATTTAAAAATAAAATTGTTGGCGTTCATATTGTGCGATATATATTTATGATTCAAGGAACTCCGAGCATGATGCAAAGAATCCAAATAATATATTGACTCAAAAGTAGAGGGTATTTTGTAGTCGAGCACACTCGATTGTTTTCTATTCACCTGGAAATCAAGCGCGACGCAAATTTCTCGACAAAGCACTGAAGCATCGTCTCGTGCTCAGCCAGTTCTTCGTACCAAGGGCAAACCCCCTATTCGCTTGCATAATAGACTGCAACTTGTGGGTTCCCGAAACCCGGTATTCAATTGTTTTTGTGCCAATGTGTATTCGAAACCAAACGGAGAATACAGTGAAAGCTCCCATTACGGACAGGGTGAATTTCGTTGACGCAACACTTTCATCATTTTGCCACACAAATTGCATTCCCCTAACTGAAAGCGCCAATAACAGAGGGCGACAAATACATTTTCCAATATATATATATAAATATATTATAAATATGAATTTGCATTTTCATAATATTAGTGATGGGGATAATTAATGGTTAATTCCCTGAAGAAGCTAGATCGTGTCTATTCTATCTCAGAGATCTATCTCAGATCTGGCAACGCTTCTAACGAAATAGATTATCAAAAATTGAACGTAAACGAGAAAATTGAAAAAAAAACGGTTTTTATGCTTATTTTTGGAATTAAGGGATTGTATTGTACATTTATTTTATTATATTCGCTGTAATTTTTGAAAATTTCAGCCGATTTCTAAAAGCCTAGCCAAAGAAAATCCATTAGATATAGCCACAATTAAGCCGCCAAAACCTTATAAAAATTCAATCTCAATTAAGTAAATACTTAATTTATTTATAAAAAAAAATTGCACATATATTATTAGATGGATTTTCACTTGATATGCCCTTCTGCTGATAACCCCTCGCGACTTCACAATCAGATGACCTTTACGAAGAAAAGGTTCGCCTCATCCATCGATAGTTAGTGTATATAATTTGTTAGTTCTTTTGTTTTGGGCCTGCAACTGAGAATGCAATTAAAACTAGCTGGCAACGCCTAAAAGGCTGCCACACCGAGCGCCAGTTATCTATTGTGCGAATGTTATCTATTGCCGTGCAATTTGGCCATACAATCTGAATAATAAGCCACTGTCATTGTGATCAGCTGTGACTGATGTCCGCTGCGACACCAGGCGGCACGGCACGAAGGCGGCAAGCGGCAAGCGGCAACAACGAGAACAGAAGCAACAACAACAACAGCTACTCACGTGGCTGCTATGCGTGACTGCATAGCACATTTCTGAGGCACAATTGGATTCGTTGCCAATGCTCGATATATATGTAACAATAGAAAGCATGAACGTGCCGCCAACCAACCTCCATTCTCTTGGTATACACCCCCGCCCCCTCCCCTCCCCTCCTGTTCCATCAACCCATTGCGGCCCATTGGCAAAGCAAACAAAGTCAATGTCCCAGCTCACAGCGTGTACCCAGCAGCCATATGCATTTTAACCCTTTAGTGTGCCTATGGATTAATTGCACCACATGCACTTTGTACCTAATATTGTTAAGACGACGCTAATTAGACACTCTTTGTTTTGCAGAGACGTTTGAATATTCCAATTTAAATGATTTTTAAAACAATTATCCCAACAATACAAATAACACTTTTTGTTTAAGAAAAGTTGGGAGATTAGATTTCGAATATGTGTATTTTCTATACCATTTCCCAGTTAGGTTTGAATATATTTAATATTTAAGCTTTTTATAGATCGAAGCTTTTAAAAATCTGTCTAATAAGAAGCTAAACTGAACACACAAAAGTTTATACTACTGAAATTTTAAGGTATTGCACTAAGGGTTAAGGGCAAGACTGGGGAAACTGTATCAAACCGAGTAAGGCCGAATGCCAATTTGCCGAAGAGGAACGCACGTTGCGACGGCCACAATGAGTCTGTGTGCATGTGCGTGTGTGTGTTTAGAGGGGGGCTGGAGCATACAGGCAAACACAAGCCAGTGTGCATGTGTGTGGATTTTAGCAAAGCTTGACACGCCAGCGCCGTAATGCGCTTTTCGTCTCTCAGCTAACGAAAGTGTTGTCAGTATTCGTACGAGTCTTCAACAAGTAGGTTGGGACCGACAGCCCGAAGGCAGCGAAAGTCTTAAATCAACTACAAACAGTGTCCAGCAAGTGATATTGAACAAAACGAATATTTTACGTTACTTAAACGTTTTCGCTAAAGTGTCGATGCCGCTTAAGTGCAACAAATACGTATGTGCTGCTGTAAAAATCATATAAATATTTATTAAAACAACAACATCAATGTAAATTGCAAAGCGATTTTTTTTTTTTTTTCATATGCTAACTGCATTTGCAATGCGTAGATCGGCATAGAGAGAGCGCAAGAGACCGCCTGACTGAACGAACGTGAGCGCAAAGCGAGAGAGAGAGAGAGAGAGTGTGCCAATTGACAACTAGAATTCGTTTTGAATATCATTGCATTTGTATATGTGCATGTGTGTGTGTGTATAATGGAAAAGCTCAATTGAATCTTATATAAACGGTATTGTTGTTTACAGCTACGTAACTTGTTAACGTTTTACGTGCACTTTGTTTTTTTTTTTTTGGTTTTTCAAGCAGCTTGATGCATGTGTATGTACACGTGAGAGAGAGAGAGAGAGAGAGAGAGAGAGCGAAAACGTAGAACAACAAAAACAACAATTGCTTGTGGCAGAGCGAGTGAACAGCAACAAAGACACACATACACACACAAAGCAGTGAACATATACGTAAGCGAACTGCATTTAAATTGTGGTAGTCCCCCCTAACTGAGCACAAATATAACTCATACGCCACATAGTAAAGTTCCATTTTATTTTGTTTCATATTTTTTTAAATATACTTATATTGATTTTTTTTTTTTTTTTTTTTTATTTATACAAAGTTGACATTGTTTTGTCTTATTTGCCCAACACTGAATAACATCCCACGCATCCAGCCTGTTCGCTCAATCAAAGCAAACAACAAATGGCACGCTCTCAATTGTAATTTGATGCCTTAGAGTAAACAAACCAACTAATTGATTCGTAAGACGACCAGGCGAGTATCTAATACTAACTGAGTCAAATTGGCAATGTTGCTTTAAATATCTACAAAATCGTTTAGAAGAGGTTTCAAGTCTGCTCGCTGCCCGTAAAGCATTTACGAATGAGGCACAAAGGGGAGTTAAGGAAACTGTCAGAGGCTTGTTAGAAATTTAAATTTTACTCTGATTTTATACAAATACCAAGCTGCATGTATAACATTTACGAACACAGCACAAAGTAAAACATGAGAACCTTCTTCTGTTTCAATTTTCCTGTGTGTTTTTCTCATTTCTTTACCTTTTCTATGATGCATGACTATGAACAAATGAAAAGTTTTAAAAGAAATCTGATTCTGACCGACTAAATTTTAAGTGAATTTTGTAAAGTACAACAACAACTTAATCAAAATTTAAGCAAATTTTTTAAGTTCCAATTGTCCAATATTTGTCAACTTAGTTGCATGTTTTATTCGTATGCCTGTAAAATGTTGACGTATATGGCATATAAAGCGAATGACGATTATCTAAGAGATAATGCTTGACTTAAGTTTTTAACCATTGCATAATTATGCTTTTATATATGTACTCCTGCACACATAAAATACTCATGTTACAAACACGTCGCTTGTTCAATTTGAGGAGTTAATTTCGCGTTATGTCAGCACTTTTGCTGAGAGAATGCGAAATTTTAGACGATTCTTTTTTTAATTACAATTATGTCGCTGAGCATTACGTAAGTCAATGGCGTCCAGCGAGCTGCCTGGTCAGCAGATTCCCTAGAAGTTATAAGGCTCAATACACTGGGCCAAGAAATACTACTAATTTAAAAAGCGATCTCTCTCTTTACGAAACTCGCTTAAAAATTAAACACAAGTCTAGTAATTCTTACTTTAATTATAATATACACAATATAAATAAATGTAAAGCTCCTGATTTCGTGAAATTTTCAACATTTCATATCTTTGATTATTTGAACGATCTGGCAGCCCCGACCACCTTCGCTGGCTAATTAAGTTGGCTGCGCTTGTTATGATTTATCAAATCTGCCAACTGCTTTTGCTGCGGCAGCATTTATGCATACGTAACCAACTAACTGTGTACGTATACATTTTGTCTGATGCTCTATGCCAGCGACTGCCAGCTGCACCTGCAGCTGCACGTGAGCGCGATAACAATTAAAAGCCACTCGCAATGCGACCTTTCGCCCGCTGTTGCTGTCCCTGTTGCTCTCCGGTTGCATTCACAATAGTTAGCTGCCGTTAAACGTGACAACATTACGTAGAGCTTATGATGAATTAACAATAAATCTATTTTAGAATTAGCCCATTATGTGATATCTATAGAACAATTTCAAATGTACAGTGGATGCATTGTTGGAAGGGAAGTCGGCTTGGAGCATTAGCTGCCTTTGGTATTGGTAACCCTTTCTTTGGCCATGATTATGGACTAGAGATTTCCACTAAGCTACCCTGAACTAGACCAGCATGAATATACAAAAATAATTGGGAGTGTGCCCCAAAACCTTACCCAAGAACTTTTGCACCTTTAAATCGAATTGCTATTCGGCATCAAGTATTTTAATTTCTCAATTTTGTTGCCTTTCCGTATGTATTTATAAACATATTTTTCCATATCTTCTTTTTCATAGAATTCTTTTGGGTGCCAGCAATAAGTTATAGTTAAATACTTAGTGTTTCAAAGATATTTATTCCACAGGACAGGATTATAAAAGAGCAAATACAAAATGGAAGGTGAGTCCACAGAGTCCACGCATAATACTAAGGTGTCCGATTCGGCCTACTCGAATAGCTGCAGCAACAGTCAATCGCAGCGCAGGTGAGATTGATAGAGAGCTTTTTTCTGCAACGATAATCCTTCAATGACAAACTATCTCCGACACAAATAGTGGCAGCTCAAAGTCCCGTTTGAGCGGCAGCCACTCGTCCGGCAGCAGCGGCTATGGCGGCAAGCCCTCTACCCAGGCCAGCAGCAGCGACATGGCCGTCAAGCGCAACAAGGACAAGTCGCGCAAGAAGAAGAAGGCCAAATCGCCGGCACAGGCAACAGCAGCAACAACAACAACCATCAAATCTTTGGAGCAGACCGAGGAGCCATTGCTGGTCAAGCCGAACAATGGCAGCTGCGAACAGCAGCTGGAGCTGCAGGACGCACAACAGCTCGGCGCTCCGACGCCAAGCGATGCACACGATGCGCACGGCGATAAGCCGCAGCTGGATGTCGACGAGCAGCAGGATGACCCCCAGGCGGAGCAGATCCAACAGCTGGAGACGGCAACAGCCGCAACGATCTCACCCGATACGATGTCGGCCAGCGTGACTGTCACCATCGATGGCTGCACCAGCATGGAGAAGACGTGCGAATGGACCGACCGGCCGGGTCGACTGGAGGCGCATGCCGCGTGCATCGGCAAACAGCAGCTGCAGCAGCAGCAGCATGATCGCGTCAAGGAGGACAGCTTCTGTTGCGTCATCTCCATGCACGATGGCGTTGTGCTTTTCACCACGGCCAATCTGAACGAGATGTTGGGCTATCCGCGTGAAATGTGGCTAGGGCGATCCTTTATCGATTTCGTGCACATCAAGGATCGCGCCACATTCGCCAGTCAGATAACTACAGGCATACCCATTGCCGAATCGCGCTGCAGCCAGTCCAAGGATGCCCGCACGACGTTCTGTGTGATGCTCCGGCGATATCGCGGCCTAGCATCCGGTGGTTTTGGTATCATCGGACGTCCGGTCAGCTATGCGCCCTTTCGGCTCGGTTTGACGTTCCGCGAGGCACCCGAGGAGGTGCAGCCGGATGGCTGCACGCTCTCCAATGCCACCAGTATGCTGCTGGTCATCTCAGCCACGCCCATCAAGAGCTGCTACAAAGGTGGGTGCCTAAAATATTTATGATCCCCAATCTAATGGGTACTAAGGTTGTACAGACCTCACCGCAATGACCCTGCTCCGCATCTTAGCCAGGCCAATCAAGAGCGGCTATAAAGTTGGATGCAATCCACTTAAAAGCTTGTAAAGACCCGATCAAACCTATAAACAATATATATACTCTTGATCCTGACGAAGCGCTGAGTCGATCCAGCCAAGTATTGAAACCGGCTAAGCTAGAAACTTGAATCCCATACGCGAAACGAGCTTTTATATTTATTATCAATATCTGGCAAAATCGTAATAGTTCTAGCTGCATATAAGAAGTTTATAAGACGTTTGTGTAGGTATCTTCGAGCTGGTTTCAGGGTCGTATACTCCTGACTCGGGCACGCTTGCGTGTGTGTGTTTTTTTTTTATTGAAAGCGACGTTTTCTTGAACCCAACAAAACTTTGTTTCACAGAGCCCGATGAGTTCCTCTCGCCGAAGGGCCCCAAGTTTGCCATACGCCACACGGCGGCTGGCATCATTTCGCATGTGGATACCGCTGCGGTCTCAGCACTTGGCTATTTGCCGCAAGATCTCATTGGACGCTCGATATTGGATTTCTATCATCACGAGGATCTGTCTGACATAAAGGACATCTACGAGAAGGTCGTGAAGAAGGGCCAGACCGTTGGCGCCACCTTTTGCAGCAAGCCCTTTCGTTTTCTCATCCAAAATGGTTGCTATATACTCCTCGAGACGGAATGGACCAGCTTCGTGAATCCCTGGTCACGCAAACTGGAATTTGTCGTGGGACATCATCGCGTATTTCAGGGTAAGTCGATTGCAAATGGCCCCATACAGAAATTGAATACGGTGCAAGAAGAACAGTTGCGAAAAGGGATTTTTATCGGGGCTTACCTTAAAAGAAGACTGTTATTCGGAGTTTAAAAGTATTCAAGGAAGAAAAGTGAATTAAAAAAGTGTGTAGAGTCCATTCGATCTAAAGAACTAAAGGACTTAACCTAGGGAATTTTCCAAGATAAAACCCAGGCGCTTTGTTCCCAAGGTATCTACCCGATGATAGACCAGCATATAATAAATAGATAAAGGATATCTATAATAGATAGGAGAAATGCCTACAATATTGTAGAAAATACGACTGTTCAAGTTATTTCAAAGGCTCCTTAAGAGCTTTGTAAGATATTCCTAGGTATTCGCAAATATTCCTAAGGGATCTAGCCACTAGGAGAAATGCTCGGAATAATGAGCTGCCCGAGCAAGCCGACTAACTGCAGCTGTCATTAACAGGCCCGAAGCAGTGCGATGTCTTTGAGATGTCGCCAAATGTCACGCCCAACATACCGGAGGATGAGCAGAATCGGAACGCGTGCATTAAGGAGGATATTTTGAAGATGATGACGGAAACGGTGACGCGTCCATCCGATACGGTTAAGCAGGAGGTGTCGCGTCGCTGTCAGGCACTGGCCAGTTTCATGGAGACACTGATGGACGAGGTGGCGCGGGGCGATCTGAAGCTGGACTTGCCGCACGAGACCGAGCTGACGGTGTCAGAGCGTGATAGCGTCATGCTGGGCGAAATATCGCCGCATCACGACTATTATGACAGTAAGAGTTCCACTGAGACGCCGCCCAGCTACAATCAGCTAAACTATAACGAGAACCTGCTGCGTTTTTTTAACAGCAAGCCCGTCACCGCGCCCGTGGACACCGATCCGCCTAAAATGGACTCCTCCTACGTGAGCAGCGCACGCGAGGATGCCCTCAGTCCCGTGCACGGTTTTGAGGGCAGCGGCGGCAGCGGCTCCTCAGGCAATCTAACAACCGCCAGCAATGTGCGCATGAGCAGTGTAACAAACACTAGCAATACGGGCACCGGCACCTCCGGCGGTGAGAATAGCGCCAGCGGCAGCAGTAATCCGTTGCCGGTCAATATGACCCTAACCGAAATACTGCTGAACAAGCACAACGATGAAATGGAGAAATGCATGCTAAAGAAGCATCGAGAGTCGCGCGGACGCACCGGCGATAAGACCAAAAAGTCCGTCATCGAGAAAATGCCCGAATATAGCGGGCCCGGCCATGGTCAGACCATGAAACGCGGCGGCTCCCATTCCTGGGAGGGTGATGCCAACAAGCCCAAGCAACAGCTGACGCTCTCCGCTGTCGTTGTCGCTCCCACAGTGAGCGTCAGCCCGGCCGAGGACAGCCAGACCACTGCCAAATGGCAGGCGCCAATGACGGGCAGCCATTTATTCCAGAGCAGCTATAACTTTCCGCAGAGCATCAATCTGTGGCCGCCGTTCTCGTTGGGCCTGACAACGCCCACGGTGCACACAACGCACACTTCGATGGCCCAGAAAAGCTTCTCGCCGCAACATAATCTATTTCCCGCCTTCTACTATATACCCGCACCGTTGGCCACTGCCACAGCCGGCAGTGCCGCAGCCCAGACGAGCGTCAGCAGTGCCAGTGCGGCCCAGCACAGTCCGAAGAGCAGCGAGAATCCGAGCACATCGCAGCCGGAGGCGACGGCGGCAACTGCCATGCCAATGCCATATATGGCCGGTGTTATGTATCCACATCCATCGCTCTTCTATGCGTATCAGCCGATGCCCTTTCCCAGCGTCTCGGGCGCTGTCCAAATGTCCGTGCAGTCGAGTGGCTCCCAGTCCAACAACAACAACAAATCGATCTATACGGTAAGTGGAGCACAATTGATGCGCAACCTAATGAACTAATCCACATCCTCTGTACAGGCACAACAGGTTAAGATGGCACCCGCGTCGACAACAACCCAAAAGCCGGGCGCCTTTCATTCCATTACACCCGCTGAGCTGAACAAACCCGATGCCCCGGACACATTGCTGCATACGGAAACCAGCCCAAAAATATCAGTCCAGGAAGCGCCCAAAAAGGAGCTGTCCGATTTGCCCAGTACATCGGCTCGTAGAGGTTCGTCATCGGATCAACGGAACAATTCCAACAATCCAAAGGTGCATTCCTGTCAATTCCAACGCAAACAAAAGCCCAACTCACATACAACTCTCTCTCCACCCACAGAAATACACGGATAGCAATGGCAACAGCGATGACATGGATGGCTCCAGCTTCTCATCCTTCTACTCATCCTTCATCAAAACCACCGACGGCTCTGAGAGTCCGCCCGACAATGAGAAGGAGACGAAAGTTCACAAGCTCAAGGTAAGCTACAGACTACTTCAACCCAAAGTACGCAGATATTGCCCGGCTTTGTCCGCAGACGCAAACACAATTCCCACAATTTTCCAGCCTTACGGAAGAAATTTTCCGTACATCCGTCTCAATATTCACATACATTACAAAGCGTTCCGAATGTGCAGACTCTCAAGCTCTAGACTATGAGTTGATCTTCAACCAATCAATCAGTCAGTCCGTCAGTCAGTCAATCAGTACAAATATTATTATTTTCCGATGGATCCTTCTATAAATTCGAATACACAAGATTGTATCCTCTTAAAAGTCAAGTTCTGTAAAATGTGCTGTAAATCGATAATTATCGATTTATTAGAAATATTAAAACTTCTCGAAATTTGAAGTTTTTGGATGCAGCACAAGTTCAAGATACCCGCATTTAGACAATTTGAATGGGTATAGCGTATCAAAACGAAACCCAAATTCAATTTCAATCAATATTCGCAGCCCATCGTTGAGCATCCGGAGGAGGACCAGACGCAGCACGGAGATGGATAGCATTCCAAAGGACGGCTCTAGTTGTGTCGAATCCTGACATTCAGTTGCAGCAACAACCCAAGCCGCAAGGCCCGCACCCAGACGAGCTTCTCTTGGACACCCAAACCAAACGCTTGAGCATTATTTAGGTGCGTTAAAACTTAAATCTACTTATTTAATAACAGATCCTAACATATTATCTCCCACTCTCTCTACTCCGCTTTCAGAGTTTTCCATTTCGTGTGTAACTACATAAATTTATTTTCTGATCAAATTCAATTTTGCAAGTGGAGAAGGCAACGTTCAAAAAACAAAAAACAAAAAACAAAAAATACATTTACAACAAATTATGTGCCCAAGCGACAAATTTCATATCCCAATAAACGTTGCGATTACAGAAAGAACGAGATGGCAAAAAAAGCAATCAATAATGTTCGTATTTTGTCTATAAGCGATAATCAATCAATCAAAGTCCTTCTGAGCCTTTGGTAAATTCCACCCGTAACTGTGAAAAACGAAATTTAAGTCTTGTGTGCCATAAATATATTCGACACGATTGATTGACTGAATCAATCCTTAGGAAAATTCCACCCGTAATTGTGGAAAACAAATTCGAAATATATTTGACATGATTGATTGCCTGAATGATTGATTGGTTATCAATTCCAGTTATTTCGTCTGATCTACGTGCACGAGACTTCGGTAAATTCCACCCGTAAATGTGGAAAACTGGTGGAAAATAAAAAGTTCGTTGTATAACACGCGCTCTGCCTTCAGATTATATTTAAAGCTCTACATATAAAATCCATAAAATCAACTTAAATCAAAACACGGAACACAAGTAAAATTGTCGGAATACCATATTCCAAGCTGAATTCACATGTGGAAAATGAGTGAAAAGGTAAGTATGGAAATTCAATTAATCAAAAAGTAAATTAGAAATAGAATAGAAGAGTACAGAGTAGAATAGAATAGAATAGTATGGCATAATCTCCAACAAAAAAGTACTCAGCTTTTCTTCCTAATCAAGCATATATCTATATCGCAAATCGTATATATATATATTTATAATATATATATTTATAAATCAATTATCCTTAGTTTTTGTTTGAGAAAAGAAAAAGCATAGCAATTCAAGACTGGCCAGGTGTTATCTTTTATTCACAGTGGAAAAGCAAACACATATACAGATCACAATATATCTATGTTTAAAAATGTTATTAAATTACATTTGACTCTTTAGTCTTTAAAGAATTCATCATATGGCAAAGTGTCCAAGAGTTTTTGCAATGCTACTGAAAGGAAACGATCCGAGGCCTCCGTTATCTTGGGCTGTATGTCCGCTGAAAGAGCATCCCACTCGTCGTTGAGCACCTTCAGTGTGCTGTCCCGCAGTTCAGCATTGTCGTTGAACAGATTGGTCAAATTAAAGTGTCCACTAAAAAGTAAATTATATAAATATATATAATAAGGTCTGTGGGTCATCAGAAAATGTATACTAAAGTCCTTGTTAGCGAATCTGCATGTCAAAATTGACCAGGTAGTTTAGTTTTAACCTGGAGATATCCAAATAACATTCAGATATGTTCCTGTTATCTTTTTGATAACTACTTAGCATGCGGTTATCTAAAAGTTACTGAAAGCTAACTGAGATATTTAATAAACTTTAAGATGTGTAAGGCTTTAACTTTCAGATATTCAATTGTTATGGGGATATGTTTAGAATATGCTCTAGATATCTGGTTAACATGAAGACATCCACATGTTAACACAATTCTTACAGTGAGCCTTGCCTACAAAATACATAAATTTTGAGGCATTTAATTGTTTTAGGGATATGTTTAGAATATCTTTTAGATAACTGGTTAACATGAAGATATCCACATGTTAACTCAACCCTAACTGTGAGCTTTCCCTTCGAGATGTTCTTTAGCTTTAACTCTATGATATTCGATTATTATGGGCATCTGCTTACATTGTCTTTCAGAAATCTAGCAACCGTAATGAGCTTTAAATTTTAACTGAGCCCTCACTTTGATCTTTAACCTTAAGATTGAACAAGCAGATTTGTACAGCCTATCTTTAGGATATCTACATGTTAACTGGGCTCTTACTATGAGCTTTATATAGTTAACATGAAGATAACTAAACGTTAACGGAATTTTCTACTTACGAGGCCACTTTGCCGACCGACTTGTATTCGGTGACCTTCAGATAGGTGTGTCCATCGGCTCGTTTCTCGGGTGTGGCACGAATGCGCGACCTGGACTGCATCTCGTTCAGCTTGATGACAAGTTTACCATGGCTAACGATGGGCAGAATCAGGATTTTGCCCTCAACCTCATAATCGGCACGCAACTCGACGGCCGGCAGGGTGACGCTCCAGAGCAGCTTTAGGGGCTTGTTCAGATCCTTGGTAAAGCCCTTGGCGCTCTTGAAAATCACAGTATCGGCAAAATTGTGCAAAGTGGTGTTGCTCATGATCAGATTGAACTGCACGGAATCGGTGTCACCGCCGCTATTGATGCTCAGCGTGCCCAGCTGGAAGGGATCAATGCTGGGCACATTCCGCTCGGGTATCCCATTCTTGTAGAGACGCACATAGGTCTGCGTTTGCCGCAAAATACACGCCTCATCGTCCACGCGGCAGCGCTGCAGCTTATCGGCTGCATAGAGAGAGAGAGAGAGAGAGAGAGAGAGAGAGAGAGAGAGAGAAGCTGAGAAATGTGGATGCACTTGCTCCGTGCGTGTTAACGGTATCGAAACTCACGCAATGGATCGCCGCCACCGGCAGCAATATGGCCCAGAGCAATTGCTATGGCCATCCAGGTATGACTTCTCCAGTTATACATTTTGATTGGCCGCCAGAAAATCCTCAACTAACGAGCTGCGAATGCGTGCGATGCGTTTTTATGCCAGCTTCAAGACGGGCTGACAATTCCCGACAGAGTGCCAGTCTCTGAGTGGATCCAGGTGTAAGTGTGTGAATCTGTTGGACCTCGTCGCAATTATGGATGCATTAGCACTACAAATAGAATATTAATCCGAACGAATTGAACTGCGAACGTGCATTAGCTTGTGGCTTGGCTAATAGCTCGTTGAATATTTCAAAAAATTTAATACTTATAATTATTTTCAATTAAAATTAAACAGGCGAGCTCTGTTTATTGACGTATGAGCTTGGCCAGAAACCAGTTTTCCTCGAAATTCGGAACCAAATGATAGGGTATCCACATTCGAATAAGCCCTGCCGATAATATTATATAAGCATCATTTGTGTCATCTTTAATCCATGTAATATCCTCTAGCCGCAGGAGTCTTAGCTCTTAACTATACCCTCTATTCAAGACCTTTTCAAATTTTAATATAACAAATAAGATTATGACATTATTATTTACAGGGTATTCGATAGTCTAGCAAGCACTTGGGCCGCGCACTTACGTATTGCATTTTTGTCAAGTAAACAAAACTTGTCAAACTAATTGACTAGACCCTGATATTGTCATAGTAAATACAACTAAAATGTGGCCGCTTTTTTGATTGAGCTTATCGACACACATAAAAGATATTAAGGGTGAAATTCATTTGAAATTAATTCGCGCTCAATATGTTAATCCAAAACGATCCAGACACAATCACAACAATCCGCTTTTATCAGCACAAAACGAACCTAACCTAACAAATCTTTTTTTGAGGTTAGGCTTTAAAGTTAAACAAATTTAATCGAATTTAGCAAAGATTGCAGTGTTTTTATTAGCATAATAATAATTAAAGACACATGAAATATGAATACATTTTGTAGTGTAGCTAATTTAATTATGTTTTAAACTGACAATTGGCGCACATAACCTAACAAGGTTTTATAGGTTATGTTAACCAACCATCTCCCATATAGATAACTCTTCTGTTCGCATAGCCTTGGATGTACGCATCATCTTAACGTAGGGTACTGATCAATTCTGGGTGTGAATTACAGTGAATACTCGCAAAACAAATACTGCCAGCAAATGGAAATTTCGAGAGCTTACAAATTCCAGAACTAATTCACAAATTGACTTGATTTGCATTTACTCGAAAATTCTTATTTCCAATAGAGCTTATTTTGTATCTCTAGAAAGCATTACATTTTTAGACTGAGGCGTTCTGATTAGCGTGTGAGCACTGTGCATTAAACTAAACTGTGGCTTGCATTTGAGATAACAGCTGGAAGGTGTCAAGTGGGTGCAAGAGTTCAGCGCAGCAAAAGACCCCCTAAGGTTAAACCCATATGGAAAAGTACGAGCACTTAGCCCGATGACAGATTGCACAGTTAACCAGTCGCGAGATTGGCGTGGGGTAGGCGACTTGACTGAACGTTTAAGGGGCACCAATTAGTGGTAATTCGAAGGCTAATGCGGCTTTAACAAGTCATCGGTGCAATGTTATAATCAATTAAAAAGGTAAACAACTTTATTTACATTTATTGAACATGAACCGGCTGTCTATAGAGAGGTGGCAGGAGCGCGGGTGTTGTGTGACAATGTATGAGGGAGGGTGTGTGTTTGTGTGTGTGTGTGTGTGTGTGTGTGTGTGTGTGTGTAAGTGGATTAAAGTGTGTTGGGGTCAGCCACAGCTATATTAAGGTGTTCCAACTAAGCTTTTGGCTCATCGGTGCCAAGATTCCTCAGCGACTGCTCAAACTCAACAGAGTCCACCTGACGTTTGGCTGGATCAAATGGTGGCGGTCCAATCAGATTGACCACCTCATCATAGTCAAGCGTCTCCTTATCGAGCAGAGCTTCTGCCAGCTGCAAATGTGCACACAGCATTAGCATGAAGGAGAAAGAGAGCGGAAAAGAGAGAGATAGCATTACCTTCTCCAGCTTGTCGCGATGCTTGTTCAGTAGATCTTCGGTTGTTTGATACGCTTGGGAGACGACGTTGCGCGCCTCGTGATCGATAATGCTATCCATAGCACGGGAGAAGGGCTTGGTGCCACCGCCGCCACCAGTCTCATTCGAATCACGCACATAGATGGGACCTAGCCGTTCGTTCATGCCAAATTTCTTGATCTGCGAATAGGCAATCTTGGTGACCTTCTCTAAATCGTTTTGTGCGCCAGTTGTGATGCGATTAAATATCAAATTCTCTGCCGCACGACCGCCCAGTGCCATGCACATCTTATCGAATAGCTCCTCCTTGGAATACAAATGCTGTTCACTGGGCGTGTATTGGGCAAAGCCCAGGGCCAGACTTGTGCGCGGCACAATGGTCACCTTGAGCAGAATATCCGAATTGGGCAGCATCCAGCCGACCAACGCATGGCCAGACTCGTGATAGGCAATCACCTTGCGTTCGGTCAGCGAAAGCGCATGAGAACGCTTCTCGGTGCCACCTGGAAGCAGTAAAACAATGAATGGTTGGCCAATTGCTGGCAAATGCAACACAACGCACCAACTAAACGCTCGACGGCATACTCTAGATTTTTGCTGGTGACCTCTGGCTGTACGTTGCGCGCCGCATGGAGCGCCGCCTCGTTGCATACGTTCGCAATATCGGCGCCGGAGAAGCCGGGCGTTAGGCGTGCCAAACGCTGTGAATAGCTGCTGGGCGCCTCGGCCAATTTAACTGATGACAAATGCTTCTCGAATATTTCTTTGCGCTCCTGAAGTGTCGGCAAATCAATGAGTATGTGACGATCAAAGCGACCGGGACGTAACAGAGCCTGCAGAAATTTGAGCAAAAATTAATTAGTAGCTGAAAGCTGGACAAATGAACCCAAGCCTGAGCCAGGTGTCTACCTTGTCGAGGATGTCCGCTCGATTGGTGCTCGCTAGCATAAGAACCCCCTCCTTGGTAGCCATGCCGTCCATTTCGACAAGCAGCTGATTTAGCGTCTGCTCGGACTCGCCGGAGCTGCCCTGGCCCATGCTTTCGGTGCCGGAACGCTGTCGTCCAATCGCATCGATTTCGTCAATGTAAATAATGCAGGGTGCACGTTTCTTGCCCTCCTTAAACAAATCGCGAACACGTGCAGCGCCCAGACCGCCAATCATTTCAATAAACTCAGATCCATTCATGCTGAGAAAGGGCACCTGCGCTTCGGTTGCAACCGCTTTGGCCAGCAGCGTTTTGCCACAGCCGGGTGGACCCAATAGAAGAGCGCCGCGAGGCACCTTGGCGCCCAAGCGCTGATACTTTTCTGGTGTCTTTAGATAATCAACAAACTCCTTAACCTCCTGCTTGGCCTCACTAAGGCCAGCGACATCGCGAAAAAGTACGCCGCGTCCGCCATCAAACGGATCCACGAGCGTAAACTTGGCTCTGCCCATTTGGTTCTGTAATTGCATGTTAAAACAAATTAGGAAAGGCTTTCAGAACGCCTGCACAAATTACTAACAAATGAGTCCATGCTGAGTGGGCTTTTCATGCTCTTCATGCGCGTGGCAATGGACATGAGCAGGGCGCAGAAGAGCAACAGCATCAGGATGCGGCCAGTGGTGTCCGTTTGCCGATCATAAGTAACTGGTACGCCGTCTGTAATACCCAAACGTTTTTCCACAAGGCGCAGCTTTTCCTCGAACTTGTTAGCATCCGCAACGGCCATGTGGAATATGGTGGATGTTACTTTTCGTCCCTTGATGACAGCGCCGTCGTGCAGTATAATGGTTACCATTTCCATATCCGGCCGTATGATCAGCTCCTTAACTTCGCCCACGGCCAGCATATGATGCACAAACTCATTCCATGAAACGTAACGTGTGGAGCCCTCGGGACGCTCGGTGCGCGGCGTTATAAGCAACGATATAAAGGCCACAAACATGTAAATTGTGAACAGCCAAAGCACTGCTTTAGTTAGAACCGAGCGCATTTTCTCATCGTTTTCATTGTTTTTGTTGTTATTGGGATTTGATGACTCTTCACCGGAACCGGAGCCGGACCCCTGTGACGTTTCTTTGCCGCTCTCTGGCGGCGTTTCGTTGTTCGGGTCAGTTGACTTGTCGCTCTTTGCGGGTTTGCTGCTCTCCTTGCTGCTCTCCTTGTCGCTGTTCTTGTTGCTGCCGCTGCTGTGCTTGTCCGTGTCTGTCTTGCGGGAGCATAAGCAGCGCAGATGCAATTGCTGCACCTCGCGTGGCGTCAATTGCAGAGAACGTGCAATCACGCCCACAATTGCTTTGTACTCTGATCGCAGCATTTGCATCTGTGTGGCATAATGTTAAATGTGTTCCAATTGGCATCTATTTTATCGCCACTTACCTGTCGCCAGCTCAGCGGCTGCAGGGCGGGCGCAATTAGCTGCCGATTTAGGCCAGCGGCGCCGCACAGCTTGCTGGGCAATCCGGTTGCGGCAGCGGCAGCGGCAACTGCATTTGGATTGCTCATGTGCGTCACGTAGGCGTGGCATCGCGCCAGATTGTGGGATCCACGTTGCAGCACATTTCTAAAATGTCGCAGGCCTTTGTACATAATTTCCAGCCACTTTTCTTCTATTGCGACTTGTGGCCGCCGGTTCGAATACGTAACTTGATGTTGTTCGCTTGAAATAACATGCATTAGAGTTGCCACCCCGGCGCAAAGCGGCTGGCCTGACAGCAGCGCTCAATCAGCTGTTCGATGTTGTTGGGGGGCTGTGAGCAAACTATTAATTTTTTATAAAGTTGTCATTTTGAAAGGCACATCTTTTTTGTTTATAATTTGTAGGCCAAATGGCAAGCGAGGATTCCGCACTCCCGCACTCGCTTTCTGTTGCATAAAAAATCAATAGTTGCTTGTTCTCGTTGTTGCATACTTCTCATCGAAAATTTTGTATTAACCCTTGTGTGACCCGCATGCCAAAAAATATCGTTTATCAACACGTTAATTTCATTTTTCTGTATAATCTTTATTTTCGGTTTTAAAAAATATCTCGGGCTGCTCAAAATGAAAAACAATCAAAAGGTCCTATTCTTTAATATTTTATATATTTATATATATATATATATATATTTATATAAAAAAAAATAATAATAATAATAATGCTATACAAAATTACTTCGTACTACACAATAATAATGTCACTGAATTGAGTAACTAATTTGTTAAATTTTGTTGTTCTTTAAATGGCATTTGTTCGCTGTTATCAATAATTGCTATTCACTGAGCCATCAAATGGACCCATACTGTCGCCATAGTCCTGCATATCCTCATCGATTTCATCGTCGAAATCATCGCCCAACTCTTTCGATTCTGGACAATGTCGGCAACGACTCTCGTTGACTCCATAATTAATGCACGTAGATCCTACGCACTCACAACATCCATCGTGGAACCATCTGAAAAAGGGAGAAAATACAATAATTTGACTTGAACAACGTTTTATAAATGTATTGGTGGTGAAGTTTACGCACCTATAGCTGCTAGCGCCCATTGTTTGACAACTTTGACGGCATTTATTTAAGGATACGCACTGATCCAAATATATAACCGTACAATTGACTGTCAGCGTATTATCACGTTCCTCACGTGCCTCATCTAGATTTTTGTCATTGAATTCTATCAAAAAAAAATGTTATAAGACATATTCATTATGTTTTATAAGATTTTACTTACTCAAATAGTATTTCTCGTCTTTATCCAGTTTTGGCTTGCCCCTGGACCAATCCACTTGAAATGTGAAAACATCCCAAAAATCACTTTCACTATCCTCAGTGGTAGCTAGCACATTGAATAGCTCTGGCACCCCATCAAAGTCCTCAACATGAGATTTTTTGGACAGTGAGTTGCGTGTGTCGTTGGGTTTGGGACAAAGTTCTGCAAACGAGAAAATTGTTACCAAGTGGTGCAACATAGGTGTTAAAGTTCAACTTTATTGCATGGTTGCAATCCAGTTTTAAACGGCGGCTCAACTATCGATGATTGCAGCGCACGATATCTATTTTGGCACATCTCAAATACACACACGCACACATAAACACAAACGCACAAGCACACACACACACACACACACACACGCGCGCAGATGAACCAAAAACAAGGCGACTGCGACAGCGCAATAATGAATAATGAATATTGTCACACCAGAGATCACATCATCGATTTACATATGCACACATACATATACATATACATATTGTGTTGTAAATATCTGATTACTTACCCACACAACTACAGCACTCCTCATAGTACTTTTTGCCCAGACATTTGAGGCACTCTTTGCAGCAGGAGCAATTCTTAAGCTCGCATTTGCAACTCTGCGTCAACATGCACTTGGACACTATCGAGGCGCAGACGACTTCATTGCACGACTCCACCATGCCATAGAAGCAAACAAATCCCAATGCTAGAAATGCGCCAACCGTTAGCGATCGCCACACCTCCATTGTGATATACAGTTTATTTATTATTCCAAATACAATTGTTAATGTTTTTTTTTTTTTTTTGTTTGTTTGTGCGTGATAAAAAGGGCTCACGCAATTTGTGGGTGGACGTTTGGGGGGGGTGGCTGGCTTGGCGGCGTATTCGAATTGCACACGAGTGACAGACAAAGAGCGAGAGAGTGAGTGAGTGGGAAGTAGGCGCAGGAGACACACGCCGACGGTTTGAAAGACTTTGATCGATTGACTGATTGATTGATTGATTGATAGCTAGGTAAGCATACAGATGTTGTGTGTATAATTACAACAAATAACAATAAAATAGCAAAAAAAAAAAAATGTAAATAAATAAACAAAACAACACAACACAAACAATTGTTAACTACTGCTACACATCGAAAACATTACGAATATATATATATAATATATATATGAATTTGATAGATACATAGAAATTGAATTTCGTAGCGCGTTATATTTTGTCGTATTTGCAGCAGGCACAAGAACAAGTTTTGGAATGAGCTATGAATATTTTACTAAATCATTGAACAAGTCAGTCACAGCGCGTAACAACAACAGCAACAGCAGCAGCAGCAGCGGCGGCGGCACCAGCAACAACAATAAACGACACCACGACATACACTAACAAAACGAAACAGAAGACAAAACACACACAACGATCAACGATCGACAGACGCGAGAGAGGCAAACGACGACAACGACAACGACAACGTCGACGTCGACGTCGACGACAACGAGACGGCGTCAGCTATGTAGCTTGTTTTTATTATTGGCGCGACGCAGCAGGGCATAACTGTCTTTTTTTGTTTTTTTTTTCTCCGTCTCCTGTCTTTTTCCCAGCCAGGCCCAGAGGCTAGCCAGCCAGCCAGTTAGTTAGCTAGATACAATGCGCGAATTAAGCGCACACACACACACAGACGCGCGCGCGCAAGACACGGGCGCAGAAACACACGTTGGCTTAGAGAAACGTAAACACGTTACGAAGCGTTGTTGGCATGCGGGGGCGCTGCTGACTGCGACGAGAGGGGAGGTGTGGCGCGAGTGCGAATGCGAGCGCGTTCATTAACTGAATGATGGACTACCACAACGAGATGCGAGCAAACAACAACAAAGCAACGGCAACAACAAAAATTATCAATACACACATCTACATTGAGATCGAAAAGGTATTCGATTGGAATGCTCTCAGCAGTGTGCATGAGTGTGTGTGTGTGTGTGTGTGTGTGCTGCGTACTGATTTTGTAACTGTGGTATGCGTGTTTTATGTGTGCAAGCCACGTTATCGATCACGATTAATTTCAAGCCGCAATATCGAAATCTTTATTTCGTTTTTTAATGCTCATCAGACAAAATATGTAAAATATTTGAATAGTCATATGATTCTAGGTAGCTTATGCAGAATCTAATAAGTGCAAATAGTAAATTCTAATTCGTATAAATTTTCGCGATATTTCACCAACTATCGGTATCGATATTCTTAATGTGTGTCATAGCTTAAGGCATTCAAATTCAAAATGGAAAAAAAGTACAAATTAATAACGAAACGGAAGTTTTCAGCTGTGTAATAAAATGTTTCGTAGGTATACACAAAACAGCTGTTGGCAGGTGCCCCCGTCGCGGAGCGCAGTCACGATACCCCGCACCCATCTCTAGTTACTCGAATGTCCAATAACAAGCATTTTCGATATATTTGGCAACTCTGGTTGAGCTGAATAACAACAAGAAACCGCTGCATAAATATACAGCTACAAAAAGCGCATCAAACGCAAATGATTGTGTTCAGAAACTGTGCTGTGCTTCTGGTGATTGCCTCAATATGCAGTTTCTTCTACGGCATTGGACATATCCACGTCGAGGTGGAGCCCAACGCTTGTCGAATGACATACATGTTTGGTGAGCCAAGATTTGCAGTAAGTAAGAAAAGAACCGCTGCATTTGGAGGATTAATAAATGTATATATTTTCTAACAGCGCGTCAGATTTAGTGCCAACAAACAGTTTCCCAACTATGGCCTATATTACTACTATGAGGGTGTGCGCCAGACGCTGGATCCGCTCAAGATGCGCATGACTGGCGCACCGGTGATATTTGTGCCCGGCAATGCCGGATCCTACAAGCAGGTACGCTCCCTGGCGTCGGTGGCGCTGCGGAAGGCGCGCGAACATCCCGATGCAGGCATACATCTCGACTACTATACGATTGACTACGACGAGGAGCTGTCAGCGGCCTATGGCGGTTATATGTACCATCAGCAATCGTTTCTCAAGCATTGCATACGGACAATTGCCGCACTGTACGGCCAGACCAGCCCGATAGTCCTGATCGGACACTCCATGGGGGGCAAGCTGGCGCAATCGGTGTTGACGGATACTGAAATTGGGCAGCACATAAATGCAATCATAAGCATATCGACACCACTCGATCAGCCAGTGCTCAATTTGGATGCGCATCTCGACCAGTTTTATAGGGAGGTGCACGAGGTGCTCAGCCGTACACGCACCGCCACACAGCCGTCGATCGAAACAAATGTGTGCCAGAGCTTGCACCAGAAGCCGCCCAGCGAACAGAGCATGGCCAGCCAGAAGCTGTCCGCCAAACTGGACAATGTGCTGCTTATTTCCACAGGCGGTGGCAATCGTGATCTGCTGGTGCAGGCTGGCTTGACTAACTCGCAGTTCAATGATCTGCATGCCATGGTAAGAACTGAAGTCCAGTATTTGTTGATTTGAAATCCTTGCTTAACGTTTGCTCCTGCTCTACAGACCTCGGCCATACCGCGCGTTAGCCTCAGCTGCGACCATTTGTCTGCCGTGTGGTGTCTGCAGTTTATGCAGGTCATCAATCGTTTCCTGTTCAGCATTTCGCAGCGTCGGGACGATGGCACCGTCATCTTTAGCAGCAACAAACAGCGCAATATGCACTCCGCTGTGGCGCATTTTGTGGTTGGCATTTGTTTTACACTTGTCGCATGTTCTATAATACTCTACATATTTTAGAAACCGAGGATACGGCAGCAGAGCTTGATGAAACTGCAGACGCACAGCGATTGGCACGAGGAGCATCGTCTGGTCATTAACAAATTTTTTGCCAATGGCCTGAGAAGTCATTATTATGAGCTGATCGGCATAAAGCGTCAAGAGCGTTTCAAGGTGCCACGCAAATTAGTTTTAACGCCAGCTGTTTATACTCTATACTCAATGTGTCAAAGAGCGAATATTAGTTTGTCCGTCTGACATGAAATTCGAAATGAAGTCTGTGAAGTCTGTAAAAGCTAGAGTCAGCTAGTTTCCCAATCAGATGCCGAAACATCGCAGTCTACAAATATCATAAGTTAATATTGATTCTCTTAAGGCTCTTATGACACTGTGAATAGAGTATTGCACGGACGGCTGCAACCGACTGACATGATTTTAACCTACTTTTAACGTATTCCCCCACCTCCCCACAGAAACTTGCCATTGAGGCTTTGAATGTTGAGGGCGATGAGAACTGGCTGTTTGGCTGCGAGTCACATAGGCACAATGACACCGAAGAAAACTACTGGTGAGTGTGCACACACATACAGGCCCATGCACTCACACTTCACACCAATTGGTTGCTTTGCAGCGAAAAGGCCACGCCGCTTACCCATCTCATCCAGCGTCTGCCCAATACAGAAAGCGATCCGCGCAGCATTGCAGTCCTCGATTTGCACAATCTACGCAAAACTTATGAACAGTGGACGCATTTGCTGTTACGTTTGCCGCCGGGCAGCAAACGCACCGGCTACAATCTGGACATATACGATCCCAAGGAGCGCATCCTGGACATACGCATGCCACGCTGGTATGCCTATGGCAGACGCACGGTCGTCAACGAAACTCTGCAGGGCACACTACACTATCGACTGCGGATTTCTGATCTGGTCGAGCCGTATCAGGGACTGCGCATCTATATTGAACCGGAGCAGTGTCTGCAGCCCAATTATCGCATTACAGCCAAATTGTGTGTGCCCTGGGCCGCCGGCTTTGACCGCTATCAGACACTGACGTAGGTTTTCGTGCGTTTAGAGCTTAGCGTGAATTATAATCGACCGCTTTAAATTGCAGCTCACCGGATCAGAAGCCCGGCCTGTATATTAATGTGCCCACACTGATGCCCAGGCATTATAATACCACATTGAATCCAGTTATGCTGGACCTCTACTTGGATCCCATTTGTCGCTATCGCATCAGGTAAGCAAGCACAAGCCATTCAAGAATTCTATTCATTTGGTGAACCAATTTGTCACCTATATAAGCGGACAAAAGCTTTAAAGCTGCGAGATCAATAGGTAGACGGACATATAGTTTATAGATTTGGACATGTCTACTCTATATTGCAATAGAATCTTACAGTATCCTTGAAGACGGGCAGAGCTAGCTTAAACTGAATCTATGCCATAAATAATACCAACATTTCTCTCTCTCTCTCTCATTCTCTTTCTCTCTCTTAGCTATGCATACTCGTATGCGGATGCCCTGTCGCGTATTGTGCTGGAGTTTTATGGCTGGTTGCCGGCGCATTTAGTTTGTGTGCTGTTGATTGTGCTACGAAAACAATTGGACAAGTTCCAGGAGGCGGGCAGCTTCAAGAGTCTCAGGCCCTACGTCGGCTACTTCCAGTACACATCGCTCTACTTGGTGACAGGTGCGTGTGCCTAATATAATTGTATAGAATAAATTAAGTTTACTATGTGTTGTTAACGCACACAGGCTGTCGGCTGTTTAAGAAGCTAATACTCAATTTGAATGTCTTGCCGTTGCCGGAGCAATTGGATTACAGCATTAATATATCCATCATTATACACTGCACGGCCATTGGACTGTCTATTGCGGCCGCGTTGGCGGTTTGGCTGGCCCTGACGCTTTATGGCAATGCATTCCATCGTTTGGCGCTGCGTCTGACGCGCCTTTCCACATCCAGTTCTAACATAATGCTTTCTATTATGACGCATCTGCCCATCACGTATGGCATCTTGACAATCGGCGTTGCGTTGGGCGCCTGCAGCGGTCTGGCACTGTTGTTGGCCTTCTTGTTTTATTTTCTTATGTTATCCAATGCCTACAAGGACTATCTGGAGGATTATTTGTGGCAAAAGGCGGCAAATTTGCTGCACATGGCCACGAGCAGCGGCACCACAGAAACGGATCAGTCCACGGCCAACAACGAGCAGAGCGAGCAGTCGCTGATGCCCAATAATGGCGAGATCAGCTCGACTGAAGAGCAGCACCAGCAACCGGATGAAGATAAAGCGGACAGAGAGTGCTGCGTGGGCCTGCAGAACTTTTCGTTTCACATAACGCTACTGCTAATGCTCCTTATGCTGCTGCTGCTTAGCGCACCGGCCAGCTTAGCCTGGCTGCGCAGTCGAAGGTGGTTCGCATATCAATACTCTTATATTATATATATCTAAATAGACATATGTATATTACAGACATGGCATTGTGCTTCCCGATCCATCTTTACATACCAACATTGTGGCGCTCGGTTCACTTAGTCTGGTGCTACAGCTGCGTGCGCCGCAAAAATTGTAAGTCCAACAAATGCAATTTATAAGTTTTTTAAAATTCAACTTCCACGCATTGGCGGGCAAGCTCTTGTTTGTAAATAGGCAGCACTTTATGAACGTACTGACAGGGCGACAGCCAATTGCAAACAGCGTGCAGTGCTGCCCATTCTATATGTTGAATGTTGTTTAACAGAATCTGCTTAACAGCACTTGAGCTTAACATTTAAGAGCATGCGAGAAAAAAAAGCTAGTCGCATTGCTAGGTCGAAAAGAATTTTTTTTAATGGAAAACACAATTTACGTTTGATTGAGTTTTTTTTACGCAGCAGCTAAGCTTGTGCCTCTAGCTCCTTGTAGTCCGATCGCTATGCAATTTTCATTTCTTATGACATACAAGAGTGTGTTTATACCAAAGCTCGACCTTTAAACTGAAGTACGTTAAGTGTTGAGAGATAAATGGGGAAATGTCCTAAAAGTGGAATATTCATCATCCAGCTCCTATGCTATAGATGATAGTATGATGCGGTCACACAAACAAGCCTAAATTATCTCAGCTCATCGTTTTGATCCCGAATATATTCATTTCATGGCTTGGAAAGGTTTTTTTTTCAATGGGTGCAGGGTATGACTATAAAGGATTTGCGAATGTTTTTTGAAATATGATTCGTCTCAAGGTGATTCGTTTGAGAGTTTAAATGAATGAATAAGAAAGAATTAGAAGTTTTTTAAAATCATTTTTTAACTATTTGTAATTGAACAACTCAAATGTTGCAAAACTTGATTCGACTGAAGATGATTCAGTTCAAAGTTTGAATCAATCATTCGACTGAAAATGATTCGTTTGAGCATTCGAATCAAAGCAAATGAATTGTTTATCGTTTGAATTGGAACTCGTTTGTCAGCTTGTCAGCATACATTTGTAATTGAACTTTGAATTAACTTGTAATATATTGCTTAAAATATTGCAGGCATGGCTATTGGATGCTCTCCATTTTATTGTATTTTTGCGCTGGCATTGTGCTGCTCTACTGCCAGACGGCCATTTATCGGCTGAACTGTGTGATTGCCGGGGCCTACGCCCTGCTCGCCGTCCACCAGAGTCTGGAGCGGCTCTACGTAAGGCTGCGACAGCGTTAAGGATAACAACGGATATTCAGAGAGATCTTGTACTGTTTGATGTGCTTAAGGCGTATTTTGATTTGTTATTTATTTGTGGCTTATATAGTTTGTGTAATCGATTTTGTTAGAGTTTTCGTTACGTATTTTATATATTTGATATGCCCTTGCGTGGACAATACCAAATGTGTTATTAAAAGGCGCATAAATAGCTTAACTAGATGTCGAAAATTATGTCTAATTTGGCGCTACAAATGACATGACATGTTTTTCTGCGCGCCGTGCGGGAAGTCCATAATAGATCTGGGCTACAAATCGCCGCCAAATGGGCGTTGCCGCAGCCATCGATCAAAAATTGTGTGATCGATGGCACATAAAAAGAAAAAAGAAGTGTTTTCCATTTTCATAACATGTTAACAGCCCCATAATTATATGAAATGTGTGAAAATGCATACAAATTGACTTACAAATTACACACGACTGCATAATTGAGGTCTGTTTAATTTTAGTATTCATACTAACTTACCAAATATAGTCATTTTATTTGTGTTATTTTTTTCAATATTTGTTAAATTAAGCTTAATTAGTTTTTATCCAGAATTTTACAAACGTTCGTAAATAACTTTAGAAATATACTTATGTACATTTATTTAAATTTAAGAATATTTACGATTTACTTTTAAAAATTCGTATATCATATATCTAGTCGAATATTTTTGCTGTGCTTAGCATTTATGCTACAGCTCTGAATTTTAGTCCATTCGCAATCAGGTGCCCCTTAAACATTCAAACATTTTAAAACATGCTCTTAATTTAATATTAAGTCGAATACTCAACGGATATAAGTTTTGTTCAGGGCAGGCTTATAAGCAGGGCTGCAAGCTCATCAAAGAAAACGGGTTCGGTTCACGGCTTGAACCTAAATTAAATCCCTGAACTTGTTTCACATATATTTACTCAGCTTTTGGCTTGCAGCTTGTTGCTTCAAAAGTTTACAGCGCCAAGAAGCACACATAACTCATATATTTATGTATATTATATTTGTCGTATTTAAAAGCTAAACAAATTTTGAACCGGTTCCAGATTTGTTTAGTGTTTAACATTAAGTTCAAACAGCGCGTGCGAACTGGTTCATCATGGGTAGCATCGAGCAGGGAGACTAGTTCATGTAGCTGGCAACCGAATGCTGTTGCATAGTGTAATATGTTGTAAATTCCATTGATGTACATGGCCAGGTGTTGTCCCAATGCAACTCTTTTTTTTTTCCTTTTCTTTTGCGAGGCATCAACGTACCGTCCTCAGCTGGCAACTGGATCTGATCGTGGAACTGGAACTGGAGCTGGGCTGCGCTGCCCCGCTGTAGATCGGGCAACGGGTGTTAAGGCAACAAGTCGTAAAACATATCTGATGCGATTTTTAATGGTCAATTGCGTGAATTGGCATAAGATGTGTGTGTAAAAAAAAGGCAATTTATTTGCTTCAGGCGAGACATGAATTTCGCCATGCGAACTGGGTGACGTTGCCTGTGCATATGACGCCCCGGGGAGTTGATTGATTGATTGATTGATTGAGCTGCGCATGGACATTAAGCTGCTCATGTTGACTTATCAACATCAAATTTTAATGCTGCATGAATAGCTAATGAACTCACAGATTTGTCAATATGTAAGTAGCTGTAATTGTCGTCTTTCTCTGTGTGTATGTGTGTGCGTATTAGTAAGTGCACAAGTATTAGTGCATGCAGAGCTTTAGTCAAGCAGTTGCTTGGCAAACGAGCGCAGCTGCTGTGTCCATGTGCTGCGTATGTGAGAGGGCGAGCATTTGTGTGTGTGCACAAGTAGGGGAAATTACGTTGATCCTAGTCAAAATTATGCGCTAATCAGAAGACTGCTGGCATGACCCCTTAAATATTCGTATAAAGCTATGAATTACCAGAGAGGGAGAGAGAGACAGAGAGAGATGAAAGGAGATAGATGGGAGAGCAGATCACATCACTGAATAGTTAAAGGCTTAGAGCCAATAAAGACTTAAGAACTGGATGACCTTATAGAGGGGAAGCGTAAGACCGTTTACGAATGCGGTATTCAAGGAGAAAGCGAAATAGAGAGAATAGGAGGGATAGTGAGAGAGATTGAGCGAGGGAAGCGAGAAATCAAATAGCCTGTAAAACGTTGACGAAAGCAGCACAAAGAGGAAAGGCAAAAACATACAATATTTCGGGTAGTTCTTTAGTTATATTTTATTTGTGACAAAAAAAAAAAAAACAAAAAAAAAAACAGAAGATATTGTAAAAGATAACAAGATCGGGCAACGTATTAAACATTGAGCTATTTACACTTATTATTAATATACGACATATGGACACATTAGTTCGATTAAAATATACATATACAGTATATATAGCATATAGTATTGTATTTTATGCAGATTTGTAGATTTGTAGATTTGACTGGACGCCTACTGCCAATTGCTGGGCACGAATTTCACGGGATTGGCGAGGAAAGGCGGCGGCGGCAAGGCGCCAATGCTGCAGGATGCAAGAACAGAGATTAGCCAGAATGTGGGCGAATAATGTCAGATGTGGATAAGACTCACCTCATGGGCTGGCCGGTCTCGGCGACGATGGTGCGATAGAAACGCGGACGTGGCGCCACATAATTGGCGGATGCAAAGCTGCGCGGATTGGCGACAGGAAAGCGTATATTGCCATTGGCTCTGGCCACGTTGCGTCGACCGGAATGCGCCTGCGCCTGGGCACCAGCTCCACCTGGAGCGCCAGCACCGCCAGCAGCTCCAGGACCGCCACCGCCGCCAGCACCACCAGCACCGCCGGCACCACCGGCACCGCCAGCTCCACCGGCACCGCCAAAGCCGCCACCGAAGCCAAATGCGCCCAGGCCAGCGCCGGGCACGGGCGCAGGCGCCGTGTACATGGCGGACAGCTGGATGGGCACAAAGGCGGGCAGCGAGACGGTCAATGGCACGGCCGGCTGTGGTCCTGGCGCTGGCTCCGGTGCGGGCTCCTCGGGCTCTGGCTCCGGTTCGGGCGCCTCGGGCTCCGGCTCTGGCTCCGGTTCAGCCTCCGGCTCCGGCTTGGCTGGCGGCTTGGCATCCGCTGCCTTCCAGGCGGCCAACAAAGCCAGCACCTCATCCCGTGTTATGTGATTGTGCTCATGATGCGTTGGCAGCTCAAAGCTGGGACTGCTGCTCCAGCCGCTGCTGCTCCACGGTCCGGGCGGCGGTGGACCAAAAAGTGAACGCTGCGAACGGCCGGGCAGCACAAACTGTTGGGCCGTCACCCAGCCGAAACAGCTGACCAAAAGGATGCACGAAAGCGCAAGGCACTGGCTGCTACACTTAAGTCCCAACATGGTTGATACAGTTGGATGCGCGATGTTTGTCTGCGCGTCGATTGCCCGCCAGCCAGCTTATATACTCCAGAGCAGCCAGTCGGGCTGCCAGCCAGTCAGGCTGTCGGGCCTGAATTGGGTTAGAGTCTGGCGGCGGGCGGTCGACCGGAAGCGTCAACAGCTGCGTCCAGGCTGCGTCCAATTGGCATTGGCATTTGGTCAACTGGTTAAAATGCGCGGCTCGCATGATTAGGAAGCCGGCGCGATAGACGCAATCCGCATGCACCATTTAAGGCCGCATTGCATCACAATAAGCACAGCTGCCCAAACTGGTTCACCAGTTGCCGTTTCTGTAGCACAGTGTATTCGGCTTTTCTTTTCTTTTCTTTTCTTTTTGCTTGTTGATTGATTTGTGCTCCTAGTGGAGCGGCGGCTGTGCGACACAGTCCCATGACTTTTCATCCTCGTGGAATTGTATGAGCACCAGCTCGTAGGTAACAATGCTGCCGGCGACCTGCATTGAATCAAACGCCAATGTGAGCCGAGAATGCACGACCAACAGATACCCTGAACCCACAGTCTGCCTTTCTTTGCGCTTCTCAAATAAAAATTTCCTTACCAAAGGTTCTGCATACCAGAGTGCAGGAGTCTATCTCTAAAAAGGACTTCTTTTCCATTTTGATTTTCTCCCTCTTATAATACGCGAGTTATGCCTAGAAAAACTTATCTGAAAATCGATATTTATCGATAATTTGAAAATTTTAGAAGACATCTAAAAATTATTATAAAATTGTTTAGCCCTTGATTTAGCAGAAACCTTGTCTCTAGCTCTTGTAGTGTTCGAGATATCTACTTGATGACTTATTGAGATGCTTTCTACTGGCTGTTACATGCGTCTGCACTAAGGCATCATACCCCTTCTCGATTGGGTTCAGGGTATTGTAATAAAAACAAATGGAAATTGAAAATGAATGCCACTTGTTAGCTGCCACAATTCAGCTGGAGCACAAGCGTTCCGTTCCACTCACTGCCAGACAGAGCTTCCTGGTGATGCTGAAAAACCGGAGGCCGCTCAGCGCCACATTATCGCTTGACAGCTCGCTGGCAAGGCGTGACACCTCGCCATGATAGCCGCCAGGCGGCACCAGCTGCAACAGGCGCAACGGCTCCCGCGCCCGATCGTGCACCGAGGACACAAACAGCAGAACCGACAACGAACGCCCGATAAGAAATGAGAGCGAGAAGTAAAAGTAAACGGCATGCACAATCGAGGGCATTTTGCTTAAGGATCAACGTGATGGAACAGAGAGAGAGAAAGAAAGAGAGAGGTAATTTATTAAAAAGTCTTTAGAGAGTGTTAAAGACAGTTATTATAACATATATGACAACAGTTTTCTTAAATTTTAGATAAGGCAAAACGTTTACGAACAGCAAATCAAAGCGGAAGTGCGAAGAACAGAACGAGAGCGAGAAGTAAAAGGGAATGAACATGAAGACCAAAAGAAAGTGAGAAAGAAATAGAGAGGTAATTCTTTAAACTCTTGTGCATTTATATATTATATATAACAACTGTGCTGTCAAGTTTATTTTTAATATGGCAAAATGTTTACGAACAGCAAATCAAAGCGGAATTGGAAACACAAATGCTCTCTTAAGGGCGACAGGCTACACATAGAAGAAGAACAGAATGAGAGCGAAAAGTAAAAGTAAACGGAGTGCATAATGGAAGTCATTTTGCTTAAGAATGAACGTGGAGACAAAGAGAGAGAGAGAGAGAGAGAGAGAGAGAGAGAGAGAGAGAGAGAGAGAGCGATCGAAACAGAGGGAGAGATATTTTATTGAACTCCCACAGGTAATATATAGTATACAAGTTTTTTTATACGAAGGCAAATAAGTATTATATATGTGTGTATGAGTATGTGTGTGTGTGTAAGTATGCGTGTGTGTTAGTGTATGCATCATGTATGTATGCATTTATGTACACATTTATGCACGCATATTCGTTATCTAAAACCAAATGCTGTGCTACAAATTTAAATAAAACGAATTTCTGCCAAGTGCTCTCCTCCTCGATTCTCAAGAATTCAAGTAGGCTGTGCAATTTTTCATGCCTAGCTGGTAGTGTAGTTGGTTTTTTTTTTTTGGTATTGTTTTTTTAGTGTTGTTGTTTTTTGTATGTATGTATGTATGCATGTATGTATGTATGTATGTATGTATGTATGTATGTATGTATGTATGTATGTATGTATGTATGTATGTATGTTTGTATGTATGTTTGTATGTATGTATGTATGTATGTATGTATGTATGTGTGTATGTATGTATGTATGTGTGTATGTATGTATGTATGTATGTATGCATGTATGCATATATGTATGTATGTATGTATGTATGCATGCATGCATGTATGTGTGTATGTATGCATGCATGCATGCATGTATGTATGTATGTACGTATGCATGCATGCATGCAATCAACTATGCAAGTAAGCATGCATTCATCTATGCATGTATGCATGCATTCATCTATGCATGTATGCATGCATTCATTTATGCGTGTATGCATGCATTCATTTATGCGTGTATGCATGTATGTATGTATGTACGTATGTATGTATGTGCGTTTGTTTGTTTTTATCATGCATACATGCATGTGTACATGTAAGCATGTTTGTTTTGTAAATATGACACCTGCATACATGTATGCACAAACAAGCATACATAATATACATATATGCAAAGTTAAAAGTTCGCCAATGAAGTCTTTGAACCGCATTTCTATCGAGGAACACGACACGTCACCCACCAAATGTTTGACCCTCATTTCCACCAAGGAGGAATGCATTTTTCGAGAAGTGTGAAACACCCATCAGATGAATTTGAACAAGGATCGTTGAAAATCAGTTTGAGTCCAATCGGATGGTAAACAAAAAAAGCTTCATACAAACGTTTTTCAGGATTTTTCAACGCATGTGAGTAGAATTTCCCGAAACCCCGTCTTACGTGCACCTTCATCAAATAAGGTAAGCGAAAACTTCAGTTTCCTAGCTTTTACGGTATCAATTAGTCTGTCAATAAGTCAGTTCGTCAGTCAGGACGAATAGTATATAGAGATTATTATTATTATGTTATTAGAGGGGTGGGAAATTTTGACCTATGTAGACATGGGATATTTAAGGGAAATTTTTTATACGAATTTTGACCAAGAATAATGTTGCCAAAGAGAGAGATGGAAAGAATGTTTGATAGTACGCAAAACATAAAAGTATGATATGCAAGAAATTACCCTTCCCGAGGACACAATTCCTTCGTGATGGCGCTTCTAGCAAAACGTTTACGAAAGCGACACAAAGCAGACAACATGTAAGTGCTCTCTTTAAAGAGAATAGCGTACGTTTACGAATGCGACACAAAGCAGATTATAAGTAAATTCTCTCTTTAATGAGAAAAGCGAACTTGAGCAAGAGCTTCGCTTGAGTTGCTTCTTCCAAAAATATTTAAGAAAACGTTTACGAATGAGACATAAAGAATAGGGGGAAAACACAACTACGCTCTCTTGCAAGAGACATTTCATGGATGCTACTCACTTGATGCTCTTGAGCAGCTGCAGGCAGACAAAGTACAAATTGCTGCCGAAGGAGATTAGCATAATGCCGGAGACAGCCTCGTCCACATCGTAGATGAGCTCCACAATGGAGCGATAGCGAGTGCGCACATAGGTCCAGAATAGCTCCGGCATGGGCTGCAAACAAGACTTGGCTCCAGACGTATGCAAAGGGAATGAGGAGCAGGACTCACCCGTTCCACAAGATGCTGCAATTGGTGCTTGAGCCGTGCCAGCAGCTCGCTGAGACCCATGCCCACAATGATGACGAACAGATCGATGTAGTTCCAGCCGAAGGTGAGCATCACGTTCTGGATCTTGCCCAGCCAGCCCAGCCAGTTCGAGTAGGGAAAGACATAGAACAGCTGCTGGGCGTCAGCATACAAATACGATTCGATGGGATCCTTGCGCATGGGACAATAGTCATGATAAACCGCTGACAAAATGCTGAGCAGGTGCTCCACTGCAGGAAACAAGAGAGGTGAGCTGATTTATGGGGAAGAGATGGAGACTAGAAGCTATCCCCTTAACCCGGACAAACATGCCATATTTATCGGTATTCCGATATTTATCGATATGAAAATTAAAGGAAATATCGAACGAACAAATATATCGAAAATATCGATAATATGTCAAATATTAAGTCTCGAGCTTTTTGAAAGACGAACAAACCGACTTGTCGTTCCGATCAATAATATACCCATATATATGTACATTATGAGATCTCTTCGATCTTCTTCTTTTGCCTGTTATACTCATTTGTCTACAGATATTTCATACTCAACTCAGCGAGAGCGTCAGCAGGGCCAGCGACACGCTGTGTATGCGCCGCGTGAGATGCTCGCGTTGCCGCCAGTTCTCGTAGCCGGGCAGCTGCTGTTCCACGTGCGCCCAGCGCCGCATCAGAGCTGGCCAACGGCGCGCCAGCTGCAGGAAATGATAGGAGCCCCACAAAATGCTCCCGTGGAATACAATCGGTTCTGGAAAGAGTCAGGATGTTATGTGTTAAGCAATTGGTATACCCTGTAATCACTCGAAACAATACAAATGGGGTATATATGACTTAAAAGAGCCGAGGCATATAATCGATACTTATCGATTCAGAGCAATTGAGAGGCGATGATGTATTACATATATAGTATGATCGATATTTATCGATTCTGAGAAGATAACATATTACAATATTTGGATACCCTGTAGACATTGGAAGCCATTCAAATAGGGTATTTATGACTCAATGCTGGGCATACCAGCTCCAAAGATATGTTCAAAAAGGCTCGTAAGCTCGATATTTATCGATTTTCAGCTACTGAGAGCCGTTGCACACATCCAGGGTACCAAAGCACCTGATCGCCCATACTCACCCACACTGCGAACATCCAGAGTGCCGTGCACCGCCAGGTTGATGGTGAAGAGCGTGTCCACCGAGGTGCAGCAAATGTAGG